AGGGATGCTTACAAAAAATAGACAACATGCTTGTATCAGGAGTTAGAACTGCAGATACATCAAGAAGAGTTTGTTTCCGGGTCTAGGTGAACTAAGCACTAGGAAAAGGATTTTAAGTACTTGTATGCATTTTGTTCTATCAATAATCACACATATAAGATATTAAGATGTGGGGTTTTTAAAAGAAACTTAAGGCATTATTGAGTTGATTTTGCATTGGAAAGCCTTAAAAAAACCCAAAGGGTGGAGGGTTAGCTGCCTTAAAGGTGTTGCTTTGTCAATCAATTTATTCAGAGCACATTAGCACTTCTAAAAGACATTTACAGTTTCAAGACCAAGAGCTAACTAGTTATTAGGGCTACATCAACTAACATGGTTTGAGTTGATTCTATTATTTTGAGAAGCTAAAAGAAGTAGAGCAGCATCTTTTCACGAAGAGGGAATCAAAGTGTATATTTCAGGTAAAAACAGAGGTTGCAGTGCATAGAGGTGTAAATTGGAATTGTGTTTTTGTAAGCATTTCTTAGAACTGCTGAATAAGGTTCAGAACAAGAAGAACAAAACTGTTATTGGGTTTTTGCTTTCATGAAGTCCAAAGGAAACAGAGACATGACTTTTTGCTATGCCACAATCACAGTAATGGTTGGTGCCTCCCAGACTTATGGGTACTCAGTTTCTAAAACAGTAACTATGAAAGTCAAAGATTCTTTAAGGGAAGAAAGCAATAATGGTGGCTGTCACCTTGATGAAAGCTAGAGCAGACATGTTGTTCCTTTTCTTTGAGAAGAGATGGAACATAAATTAAAAAGAATTAAAAAACCCCAACATGGAAACTGGTTTATATACTAAAAGATTCCAAACTGGACATAAAATTAGTGCTTAAAATAGGTTGATGACAAAAGTTTTCTAGATTCTCTAGATAACAGTAGAGACAGGAAGTAATGTCCTCAGTTTATCAGTAAGAACAGACTGAAGAAAAAAAAAATCCTCCTTTTTTTTGCATTCATGCCTGATGATAAGCTTCTCAGGGTGATTTATGATGCCAAGAATCCAGGTCATTCTGCCTAGGTAAGTACCACCTTCTCCTTTGAGTTACTTTTCAAGTCATTTGTTGGAACACTGCCATCACCACAGGAAGTTTTGGCATGTAGATCGCTTAATAGATGAATTTGTTACTTCACGAAAGAACAAAAAGTTGCTAGAAATGTGCAGAGTCTGTGTATAAGCAGGCAAAAAATTGACCTAATTGTCACTTCTTCATTTGTAATTCTCTGAGACTGATCCTCTTGAGTTTGAAAAGCAGCTAATGGCTTTGAGTTCTTTAACAGAGTATTGCCAGAACTGCCAGAACAGGAAGAGCTTGGGCGATATACTCATTCTCAGCACAACAAATTCTTCATCTGGTTTTGCTGCTATAAATGTTGAGTGATTTGAATGCAGACAGCAGTTAGTTTCATCCATGAAACAATGACATTTGCTGCAGTTTAGAGATTATTTAGCTTCCTTTCACCTGAATTCATTTCAGCTCTTGGACCCCACCTAATTCCTTAGAATTGCAAAGCTTTGTCATACCTCTGTGCTTTTACCTTTGGACTAAGATAGATTGTTATGAATAATTCAGGAAAAAATATATCTGTCACTCCACCTGCATAGGACATTTTTTGGATGTATGCAGATTACTCTGTCAAATTACTCAGATTCCTATTAAGCTGTGATGAGACACTTCATTTGCTGCAGCCCATAATTATGAAATGAAAGGGTCAATCTGTGTTGGCTTTGACTTCTGCTTGCCTAACTTTTTTGACTTTGAGACAGTTATTTAGTGCTTCTTAGTATATTATATGAAGACTCTGTGGGACATGTTCGCATTATCTATTTCTTCCTGTATTGAATCTCCATTAAGCTTACTGTAATAAATATTTTTTTTTACACTCACATAATATTTTTCACAGCAGTGCAAAATACCAAATGGGCCTCGTAGCACATTAATTTGTCAGCTGTGGCTATATAGTTCTCTGACAGTTATCACTGATATTCTTACTCTTAAACAGAGTAAGAGAATAGCAGAAATATCTGTTCAGTTGGGAAGTGCTGATGTTTTAAAATGGTAGTGACTGTAAAATGTTTTTACAGAGCTACATAGTAAATATCTATTGTTAAGAAACAAATAAATTCTGCAATGTACTTCAGGATAGAAGAAGTCGAGTAGAGTGTTATCTACCTTTTAAAAATAATTTTTAGGGACAAAATAATCATATAATCAGAGTCAATTTTTTATATATTAGTAGCCAAGTTCTTCAGCAGTAGCTGAATACAGAATTCCCAATGATTCGACAGTGTCATGTTTCCCATTGTAATTGTATTTCACAAGAATCTGTGAGCATGGCAGTAAAATTTATTGTTTGTCAATAACTACATACCTGCTCTTTATACTGGAGAATATTTTATAAAATTACCTAGGGTTAGTAGTACTTTTCTCTTCAAGCATTAGTGCTGAAGTCAATGTTTTACTCAACATGAACAAATATCACAACCTGTACATCTTCCAAGTACAAATATGTACTTAATTATGATACATTTGTATTCAAACGTGTTTCAAAGTTCTAGGTTGGAGGAATATATTGCTTACATATAATGTAATCACACAGCAATCTTGTGCATGCATAAATATGGTTAGCATGATGTAAAAGAAGAAGACTCTGATAAAGTGAGGAAGTTGTGTTGATTCTGTATCATAAAAAGACACCTATGAAACTTCATTTCTGCTTTATTTGAGGTCTCATAACTGACATATCCCTTCCCTCAGCTGAAGTTGCTCCTCTAAGTTAGATAAAGCTCAAAACTCCCAACTTCCATGTGCTCCTGTGGGTATTTCTATTTCTGTAGAACAAAGATAAAATGGAATGAAAATCCAAATCTCACCCCACCTGGAAGATATTCCAGGACAGGCCAAGATATTCTCAAGTAAAGGAAAGCAAATCTTGGTTCTCAGCAGTTTAACTGATGTTTAAAATCTGATGTCAAAAATACCACAAATCATTTGTGTAGCAAGTGACCATTAAATTGAAATTAAGCATATGAGTGATTCCTGGTACACTTTTATTTCTTCAGTATATAAGCTATACCTCTGATGAATGTAGCACTTCTCTGTGCTGTGTCATAAAAAAATGAACTAATAAACTGAATTATATTTTATCTGTTCATTTTTAAATTATTTTTGATTAGGATTGTCTGTACTTGATCTGCATTAATCTTTGCTCAAGTAAAAAATTAAAGATTCTTTTTTCTTTTTTTTTTTCTCTAACAAGGGCCTTTCCATGTAATGACCTATAAGATCTCAAATAAGAAATGTCCAGTAATCAGCCAAGACATTGCTTGGACTAAGGACATACACAATAGTATAGAGAAAATTATATATCCAAAATGATTTAGTGGATTAGCTGTTTTGTGCACACATCAGCCGCAATGCAGTATAGTCCGTTACTACATATTTCATAAATCTCTGACTATTTTAATTAATTTCACATAGGATGAATAGAAAGCAGAATTTTTCCTTTATGGAAAAGTCTGCTGCTTTGAAGTGTAAGAGTCCAATGGAAAATAAGAAGTGTGTACGTTTATCTGAAAGGAAAGCTATGGTAGATTGTGGTTTTAAATCAAGTGAAATATTTATTTTCTTCTTAGAGCTCAGATATTTTTGGAAGAGCTTAAAAATGAAAGTGGCTCCATTTCAGGGAAATAAAACTGAGTGTAAATTAACTTAATTTTTAAATGTGTATGCAGAGGTAAAATATTGATAGTATATGCATCACCTTTTTTAACAGCAATAAGAATTTTTAAGAATTTATATGAATAATCATATTGTTCCAATCTGTAAGGAAATGCATTTTCCTCACTAAAAGAGTCTTTAACTTTTATTGCCTGTAACTTTTAAATGATTTCACAAGAGGTGTGCTGTGAAATTTGTTTTAATCACAGTTTTTGATTCAACAACACACTAGCAGAAAAATGATGCATCAGAGTTAGCTTCCATTACATATTCTAAGGTAAGCTGTAATTTTGCGCCTTACATTGGCCCTCAGTTTAAACAGAAGCAACTCAGAAACCCTTAAACTTGAACAGTTTGTTTTCCAGAGGATATTTAATAATTTACAACATCTCAGTTTTTTATCTTGTCCATTTCTCTGTTGCCATCATAGAGAACTGCACCTCCTGTATATTAATGTATTTTTGAATAACTGTGAATTTTATGGTATCAATGTAGAAAATTAAGGCTGATATTGATTACAGGTGATTTTTGCAGTGGTGACCAAAATCCCCCCAACAAAATGTATAAAATGTTAATTTCTACATGACAGAAAATGAAAGCACTGCCATTTTAATCCTTGATTCAAAGCCAATGATCAAGCACTTGAAGATGTCAAACACACACTCTCTGATACACCCATGGTCTTTCTAAAGCCTACACAACAGAGAAACTATCTCATGTCTTTAAGGTCCACTTAGATTTAGAAGTCAAGTTCCTTATGAAAATAGGATTGTCAGTGAAAGTAGATTAATTTTAACACATGTTGAAGATATAAGTTAGGTGACTGGTGTAAAATAACTTAGGAAGAAACACATCTGGATGAGTGTTTTATTTAATTTATCATGCAGAGACATCTTAAAATGAGATGAGTCATTCACTGGCATGCCCCTGTCTCTCCACACACACTACAGGGAAAACTAAGCTTTGATTTGAGAGCTAGCCTTAGGTGGGTAAAACTGGTAGAGATAAATCCACGTATAGAAGTTTAAGGTTTTTTGCTTCTTCTGCTCAGAAACTTATTTTTCAGATTTCAGGAAGTAAAGAGATAGCAGGAAGAACAGAACCAGACAGAAGGAGGAACAAATGAGCACCACACTCTTCCTAGTCACAATTCCTGGTTACCTTGTTGATTTAACCTCCTTTTTACATGCTGGTAAGCAATCAAATGAAAGCTCAAAATGCTTTACCATACCTGATTGTGGACTTTGTTTGGGGATTTTGGCTGCTGCTTCGGGGCTGGAGGTGGCACGTACACGCTGATTGGCAGAATTGTGGATGCTACTTGGGACAGCTGCTGAGATGTTTTTACGAGGTTTCATGTCTTGCAGCCACATTGGGGATGCTTCAAAGGCTTGCATTCGCCGAGAGTGGCTGTTAGCATTGACTTTGAGAAATGCCTGGGCCTTGTATTCCTGAAGGTCTCCATAGTTGGCATCGGTCACCCTGCACTCATACAAGCCTTCATCCTTTTTCCTCACTTTTGATATCTGCAGCTTGTGGGAGATGTCATTCCCTTGTACTTTCACTGTCTGCAAATTTTCCAGGAAAAAAAAAATAGAGAAACAAACATTGTCATGAATTCTTCTTTCTTAGGAAAAATTCTATGGGCATAGCACCAATTTACTCAATGGTGTGATTGTGCTTACTGCAGGGAAGTTACATCAAAGATGAGTATGGCTAATTGTATCTATAAGGATGCCTTCTTTCCAAATCTGCTTAGATAGTTTGCTCTGAAATTTAATTAGCCTCAGAAAAAAACCCCAAACTACCATGTTCATTCCAATTAATTGCTTAAGATTATGAACATTCTTAATGAGCTTTCTTATGTAAACCTAGTATCTGTGTACTTTATTGGTTAAACCTTTCCAGTTTGTTGGCTTTATTGAATAATTCAGTTTCTGAACTAGTGCATTAACAATTTTGTTGGAGATGAAGATTTAAACTATGTAAAAATAACTATTTATTAGATTAGCTTGTACTCTTCACTATATTGAAACTATATTTTACATTCATTTTGTCTCCTTCAAGTATGTCAAAATTTTTGATTTTTTTTTCTGTTAATGATAACAAGAAATATTGTCAGGTTGTTTCTTTTGTCTTGTTTATCTGTGTACTTATTAGAAGCACATGTTCAGAACTTTTTTAAAAGTTGTCAGCTAAAAAAAACCTCCTGATTTATTTTTAATTCATTCTAATATCTGAGGGCAACATAACATATTTTTATTTCTGATAATTAAAACACACATGAGTAAATTATACATCCAGAAATGTGTGATCAGTATTAAGATGCATTGGGAAAAGTTAACACAGTTTCCTTTCTGTATGTTCATCACTTAAGAGAATTTTTATTTAATTAATTTTGTATTACTCTCTATCTGAATTAGTATCTGTTGCCCCACAGGAAGCCAGTTAAAAGGCATTCCACAGGATATAAATCTCCAGCTTTGAAGAACTTCTGAACCTGGTTTACTTCCACCACTGCATAAACATAGATGCAAAGGTTGCTTTGTGTTTTATCAGTGACAGCCAATAAGGAGACATCAAGATGATGAATAAATACATGGTAGATCACAAAAATAGAGAACCACTAGACTGAAGCTAGACACATGTTATTGGGGTTTGTACAATATATTGTTTCTGACAGTTTGGCCTACTGTAATAACCAGTGTTGGCAAGGCACCTATTATGCCTTCTTGATAAATCGAAGAGCAATACTCGTGAATATGTCATTGCTTTAAGGTACTGGATGGACTTTATAGCCTGATGTGTTGTAGCCAGCTCTGAATTTATACTTGGCAAACTGAGCTGAAAGTATAGATTATATACTTACAGGCATAATGTATGCAATATTAATTGCACAGAAAGTGCTGGATAGTTATTTAAATCATATTCAATAACAATATATATCTCTACTGAACAATTCATGTTCAGCAAAAGGATTAAAGAAGATTCGTATGAATGGAAAGAGGATTGGTAGGTCATATTGTTACTTCATTTGTCCCTGTGCAAGAGCCAGAAAATTAACAGTATTGCATAGCCCTGGTGAAAAACAGAATTGTTTTTGACTTTTGCATTTGAAATTTAGAAAATCTTGCAGGCAACACATATACATGTTTTCAGTTTGTGCTACTTTATCATTTAGAACAGATAGAAATGGTGTATTTCAGCCCACATCCAGCATTTTAAAAAATATTTTTAAATGTACTTTAGTTTTCTCTTCATTATGATAATTTACATTAGTACTAATGGAGCTGTGTATGCCTTAAAAAGAAAGGCTACATTTCTAAAAAGTAGATAAAAAGTAGATTTAGACATCTACATAATGTTGACTATTTTTATTACAAATGTAAAATAAATGCTTTATGCAAGCTTATAGGAGCATTGTACATGCCTTCTCATGAATTACTATTATACATAATGAAAGAGATTTGCAACTTCAAAGATGAGACAAGCTTTACAGTCTATATTGTGTCTCAGTTCTTATGGATTACTTCAGGGATTTCAAATGACCCAGTATTGATAAGGAATGAATTATCTGCTAGCCATATGTCTAGTAGAATAGTATCCAAGGACCACATGTGAGCCTCATTTGCAAGACAGTCTACAAATGCAACTAAAGATATGGTCCATGACACAAATCCTTTCTAGTCGATGGTGACAAGTATCACAGAAAATGTAAGTATGGCTAGAATATGTATTGTGTGGAACACAAGATACCTGAGTCCTCATTTATAAATGCTTTTCAGCTACACTTAGGTGTACTTTGACCTGATGTATTATCTGGTTTGTTATTTGTAGGCATAAAAAACCAGCAGAGTAAAGGATTTGTCAGAAATTATTCCCCTTTATTTGTTGCTGTTTTAAGCTTTGCTGGTACTTAAAGCCTTGTCTGCAGCTAAAAAACACTTCCAAAGCAATTATGCCAGAGAAAGGGAAAACCCTTCTAGGCTCAAAGGGAATATTCATGCTGCACTATCTTCTAAGTATCTGTGTCTTTCCTCTGCAGTGAGCAGCACACCACCATCCCACCACCATACATTTCTTGGGATGCTGAGGGAGGAGGATGTGACCTATTCTGAGGTCAGAAGCAGCCTTCTGGCTGTGCCTGACTCAGGACATGAGTCGGCTGTGGAAGGCATTCTCTCCCTGCAGAGAACAGCTGCAGGGGGAATAGAGCACCGCTGCTTTATAATTCTGTTCAGATAAGATTCTGGTATAACCTCCAAGCAGCAGATTGGTAACGGGCGTCAGAATCTCACTTTTGTAAAACTGAGTCTCTGTGGTCAAAAGTTGAGATAGCTCCCAATGGGGAGGTTTTGTGCAAAGCCTTTCTGAACTTTCTTTCTGCCAGCGTGTATGGACCTGAGAAAACACTCGTTTAAGCAGCTGCACACCGCGCTAACGGAAAGTGCAGCTTCATGGACAAATTTCAGCCTCAAAACCAACTTTGGAGTGCTAAGGCAGACTCAGCAGTTGCCCAGGGTAAATGAAAACAAGAAATGCAACGACTGGGTGCAGGCTGAATTTTTCACAGGGTATAAGCAGCGTCTGCCAATAGACTTTGCCTCGACCATACTGGTCGATGCCTCCATGTCCAAGGGTGTGGGGGGCTGCATGGGGAAAGGCTGTCCTGACACCCTCTGCCAGGGCCTTCAAGGAAGTAGGAAATGGTCACAGAATGACAGAATCAACTATTTAGGTTGGAGAAGACCTCTAGGATCATCGAGTCCAAGCGTTGAGCTGCAGGCTGCCAGCTACCCGCAGTCTGCGGCGCGGATGGGGAGGAGATGCGGGGCAGGAACTGGCTGGGCGCTCGGAGGCGGGGTGGACCCTCCCTGGGAAGGGACCCCCGGCCGGCGGGGACTGCCCGCGCCCTGCGGCGACACTTACGCTGATCTTCGTGCCGTCGCTGTCCAGGTCCCGCTCGGGCAGGAGCTCCACCTGCAGGGAAAGGAGCGCCGCCGTGGGTCTCCGGCCCTCGCCCCGCTCCGCGCCCGCTCCCGCTCCCGCTCCCGCCCGGCCGCGAGCCCTTGGAGCGGCGCGCCGCGCCTGCCACCTGCGGGCCGCGCCGGAGACAGCCGGGAACAGCCGGGGAACAGCCTGGGGAACAGCCGGGGAACAGCCGGGGAACAGCCGGGGACAGCCGGCACGGGCGGCCGAGGAACGCGGACCCGCGGACCCTCCGCCCTCCCGCCTCGCATGGGCGTCTTTTCCCGCGCCCCGTGAGGAGGTAGGAGTTGGCATAGGGAACAGCGTCCCCGAATGGCAGTGTGAATGGGCATGGCTCTTCCTGCCCCAGTCAGAAGGATGAAATCACGCTGTTGACTGATTTTGGTTTTTTACTTCTTCAGGGGCATTGGTTCCCCCTGCGTCCCCCGCCCCCTCCTGCTTGTGCCCTCCTGTGGCAGCTGCTTACGGAGTTAGGGCTGCCAGCTCGACTGCGCTAGCTGGAAATTGGACGGCACGTGAAGGATCTTGCCACATGGGAAATAAAAAGATTCTCACGAGGAGCAATCTTTGAACAGCTGCTTTCCAAGGGAAAACGAAATAAGGAAAAGCAATAATAATATTAATAATAATAATACATATAAATAAAAAGGGGGAGAGGGGGGTGTAGGGAAATAGACTTTGGAAAACCTGTATGGTTATGTGAACAGCCCTAGCTGCATAGTGGAAGTGACAGACACCAAAGGCACCAACCCCTGAGGTGGGCATTTTTCTGTGCAGGTTCCTGCTCTGCCATTTCATAGTTCAAATTAAGTCCCTTAGGGAGATACAGAACCTCTCTCTGTTCTTTCCATCTGCTTTTCCAATCTTTCCTTCTCCCTTTTCCTCCCCATCCTTTCTGTAGCATTCTCCAGATGGTTTTAAGACTCCATGGAAGAAGATCAGTACCTGAGTGCCTGTCACCTCAGCACCAGCCTCTTGGTCCTCAGCTGCCCGCAGAAACCACCACTGGATTTCAAGGTACACCGAAGTAGAGCCACTTTGGAAAGCACAAGACATCTCCACATTCTGCCCTTCAGTGGCCGTGACATTTCGGGGAAACTCTGTGAATTTTGCTGTAAAACAAATGCGTAACATATTGGTACCTTCTAATCATTTATGCTCTGCTTCTTGTGTTGTGTTTTTTTTTTTTTTGTTATTGTTTGTTTGTTCCCCCTCCCCCAAATTCTCTGTTTTCTTTTCTTCTTCCCACTCTTTTCATTTTTTTTCTCCCAAGTGTCCCACACATTATCTCCCCCAGTTTTTCTCACATCCAGGTATGTTTTTCCTCCCCTATGCACAAATCCACCCTCTTTACACTCTCAATTCTGCTTATGGGAAATACTATAGATTCCCCTGCTTCCTCCCATGAGCTGGTGAAGTTTCACGTAATTAGATCCAAATGCCCTTGGGCAGAATGCAGTATTTCACCAGACACACTGAGGGATTTTGTACAAGACCATTTTAGGAGAGGAAAAAAATCTGACTGATTTCTTGTATTTTGTAGGGCTGGGCTGTAGACCTGTAAATTGTTAAACTTCCACTGCCAGCAGAAGCAGCTGTTGGCACAAGCACCTCTGGGTACTGTTCTGAGTGAGTGTTACAATCACTCCTCAAATTTCCTTTTCAAAGGCTTTACCTGACTTAGTTACTCAGATTCTGAGAACCTCTACTTGCATAATCAGACCAAAAATCAATTCACCTTCTGTTTCTCAGTCCCAGCAGACACTTTCTAGAGCTAACCTTCATATTTGTATCTCAGTCCTTCAACAAGATCTGCCCATTTCAGTTCACCACTACAAGGTATAAAAGCTAATGCTGATAGATATTGTGCAAGACATCAGTAATTCTTTAAGTCTCAGTCTTTACTTCCTTCTCATCCTTCCTATCACTCACTTTAAAATTGTGCAACATAATGAATCATGATAGTCAAGTGAGGAGAACTGCAGAAAAACAATCTAATAAATAAATGTGTTTCAAGAAGAGGAAAAATTGGAAAGACTCTGCAATGTCGCTTTCTGTTATGAATTGCTACAGATTGACTAGAGCACATTATGATCTGAAGGAAATGTGATGCGAAAGAAATATTGCTCATTGTCTCCTCCCCTCTTCCCCTCTCTTTATACAGTGTTCCTAGCCAACCTGGAACTGGTGGGATAATTTGGTAACCAGTGTTATTTCTCTTTACCCTTGCATCTGTGCTTGGCAGCAAATACTTTCAAAGCTGATAGCTTCATATTCCACGGTGCCCCTTTTTCAGACCCCCACCCCCCACCAGCCAGCCATTGCTAGTCACCGACTTAAACTGCAAAAAGGACAGTGCATTTTGTGCGTTCGGTGCTAGTAAGTTTGTTTTGGGGTTTCTTTTCGGTTTGCTCCTTCTCTCCCCTCCTGGTCAGTACTCGCGAGCGGCGTGGGGACAGGGAGGGGAACACTGCCGGCATCCCCCCCGGTGGCACCGCCAAGCGCGAAGCCGCGGGGAGCTGCGGGCAGGGGCGGGCGAGCAGGGGCAGGGGGCGGCGGGCAGGGGGCGGAGGGAGGGGGCAGCGGGCTCAGGAGCGGGCGGGGGCAGCGGGCGCGATCTGTCCGTGGTGCTGACGGCGGCGCCGCAGCCCCGGGGTCCCGAACAGCCGGTTCCTGCAGCGCCGGGGCTGCTTGGAATGCAAGGCGCGCCGTTCGGCGGAGAGGGAGGGAGGAAGGCGACGCGGGTGGGGGAGGTATTCAAAGGAGTCGATTTTCTCTTTTTCTCTTTTTTTTTTTTTTTTTGGTGGGGGGTGATTGGTAGAAATGCACATTCACGGAATAGGAATGAAGGTCTGACTCTGAGGATTGCAGGATAATAAGTGAGGAAAGGGAAGGCAGCACAGACTGCAATATTTTAAAAGAAGCAGTAGGTTTAGCCAGCCGCCGGTACTTGGTCTGAAAGCAGTAATTATGCATGCACGGGTAGGTGTTTATTGTATGCAAACATGCCCCTATAATAACATGTACAACTCAAACACATGCATGTCCATTCCCCAGCACCCCTTTACTCTTCTGCAAGGTGCCTGCTGTTTCCCTCTTTGCATTTGGGTAAAGGAAGCCTTTTGTATTTCTACTTTGGGGAAACTTCTCACTTCTTTTCCTATTTACAGACAGTTTTGTCTGTACAAACTAAATGTAAACCTGATGCTTGGTGTCCTAATCTCTTACACATTTTCATTGTTTTCCTTCTTTTCCCCTTTCTTCCTTTCCCCCCCTCCCCCCCAATCCCATTCTCAGCCTGTTCTTACACAGAAAACCAGACAGACAGACAGATATTTGACAATAAGTGATCTTACCTTGGGTAGAAAGTCCTTGTTGAATATACATAACTGAAAAGAAAATGAATCCAATATAAGCTAGAAAGATCCCCATCATTCCAAGATGAAAAAGTCACATCAGGGAAAAAAAATAAAAAAATCCAAAGGTGTCCTCAGGAAACAGAGAACTGATATATAAGTGTATGTGTGAGTTTCAAATATCTGAAGAGAAAGAAATTTGCAATGTTACAAAAAGGCTCTGTATTGTAGACCTGGCTGCGACACTGGCAGCATTCTGCTGCTCAGTGGAGTCTTTTTCTTTGAGAAGAGCGAGTATTGCAATACAGCGTGGTTCAGATGAGCTGTCTCAGGCGCTGTGTTGCTTGAAGTCCAGATACAGACTAAAAAAAACACAAACCGTTGAAAAGTGGGTATCAGCTGCCTTCTGTGCCTTTTTTCAGCTACCTGGCAGCTTCGTCCAACGTCAGCTCTTGCTGCTCAGGATGGCGTGATGACTGCCCTCCCTACACACTGATCCAGCTTGGGAAGAGAGGAGTAGGGGAAAGAAAGGGAGGGGGGCAGGGGGGGAAAGAGAAGTCTACTGTGCTTGTATTGCTACAACTTTTCCTTCTAATGGCTGCGATAATGCCTTTAACCCTTCATTCTCCCTCCTCATACTCTACCCCTCTACCTGTTCTAACTTCTGCTGCCTGATGCTGGGCTATATCTGCAGGTGTTTTAGTGGGTTTGTTTTTTTTGTTTGTTTCTTTGGGGTTTTGGTTTGGTTTTTTTTTTGGTTTTTTTTTTTTTTTTTTTTTTTTTTTTTTTTTTTTTTTTTTTTTTTTTTTTTTTTTTTTTTTTTTTTTTTTTTTTTTTTTTTTTTTTTTAATACTGCTTATGACAGAGGGAGCTTTTATTGTACTGATGTAATCTTCGGTCTTTCATCCCAAAACACTCAGTGGCTAAGAGGGCAATGCAGTGGTTTGATTTTTGGTGAGTTAAGCTGTTTCTGTTTTCTCCTTTTTCTTTCCCTCTTACAGGATCTGAGAGGAAAATAGTTACTCAGTAATCCTGTCGCACTTGCTATTTCCTGCTCTAAATAACTATGCTTCTAGCATCTTACATTAAAATTACTTCATTTGTCTTCAAAGGCAGATAAAGAGGATGATACTTAGAGTGTGCTTAGGTTGCTTTATACACATTTCTACAGAAAAATATTTAACTAGATAAAAATGGATTGTCATATCTTACAGATTGCTGACATTAATGCATATATTTATGTACACCAGAGAAGGTGTTTACAGTATATTAAAGAATGCTTCCTCCTGCAGTGAATCTTCCTTGCTCCCTGTTTTCTGCCTATGTATGTTAATAATGTTCAGATAAGAGACTAACCTTGACTGTGTTAGGTATTCAAAACACCCTGAAACACATCTGCACTGAGAGAAGTTCTCTGGCTGAAATCGCCCTGCTGCTTGCAGTAAGGAGCCATCTAGAAAGTGCTTGTTGCACTAAGCAATCACCAAATACCTTCTGAAGGCTGAGGCAAAGATTAAATAGAAACTGAAAAGAGCACCTGATAATCACTCAGACAGCCAAATAGCTGAACTTAACTGCTAATCACAAACTAAAAAAAGCTACAAGATGGTACCAAATTAAGACAATTTTATCTGCACAGGCAGTATGTTTTTCTGGAACAGGACAGGTTCTGTCATTCCTGGCAATGGGAGTGCAGCAGTTGCACAATGGCACAAAATGCAACTTTCACCTTACTCACTGCACTAGCCAAATTATTGCATGCATACAAAACATCTGACATAGCTGCAGAGATCTCTTTCACAGGACTAATGATATCTGATTGGAGAACAATCTTTTTGACTAAATTTTAGCTTTTTCTTTTTTTCTTTTTCATAATTGTGTGAGTTGCCATTTTTATTCATAAAAATAAGGGAGCCATTTCTCCATGGCAGTAGCCTATTCCATTCATGTCATAATTTAAGCTTACAATAATTCTCAGCAAAAAAAATACAATAAATCAAATATAATTTAAATTATTAAAATGATCCACCAAATGGGAAAACAATTGTGTTACTTGAAAGATTTCCTATTAGCACAGAGATTTAATTACTTTAAAGGAGGTCATGATGGATATATTCAAAACCAAAGAAAACCTGTTAAACAAAAGAGAAGTATCAGTCTTTAAAGGTGGTAGACCTAAATTATCTGAAATAGTCAAGGTTTGTCAGGTATTCAATGATTAAATGCACACTATAGAGATCTTTACAGGTTTAGATAGTGAATGTTTCAATAATGTCTATAAAAGAACTCAGTTCCTTTTCAGATGGGCAGCCAAAATCCAAGTCACTCCTGAAAAGGAAGGCTGATTATAGGATTCACTTCAAACCCATGTACGTCATCAGTAATCAGTAGAAAGTAGAAATTAGAGACATATTATCAGCAGCCAAGTTAAATGCAAATTAGACAGGGGGAAAAGAATCTAAGCAGTATCACCTGGTTTAGAAGAAAAGCAGAAAACAAAAAACAGATCACTTTTTTCTCTTTTATTTGCTTCTTCCAATTCAAGACACTTGATAGGTAAATTTAATTTTATCAATTTTTAATTTAAAAGGAAGAATAATTCTCCCAAATAACTTCTAGTCAATGGAAGTAATGAAATATTAATGTCCCAGGGACATACAAAATAATATATATGGTTATTAAAATATCAGAACAGAGGATGTAGTAGGCAATGGATTTAGTGGAAAGAATCCTTTAACTTGGTTACATGTTTATTATTTTTATTTTATTCATATGCTGCAACAAGCCATATGATTCCATAAAATACTTTAAACAGAAAGCAGAAATTATCAGTGTTAAAATTCCTCCTGATGGGTGTGACTTCTCCACATTCAACTATGCTGTATGAATTTGGGCAGTGAATTTGTCTAGTTACCTTGTGTGAAAGGTCTGCCTTTTGTACTGTAGAAAAACTTTTAATGTGGTCTAACTTAAGTGAGAAGTACCAGTTGTGCTTTATAACATGAATGATATGGTTCATGTGAACTTCCTAATGCCTTTTTTCCTCCCTCTCAATGATCAGCTGATGTTTGAGACCATGACTGTGTTGCTATCCAACAAGCTAAATTAAATTATTTTTTGTATTATTTTTGTGTTGACTGTTTGATATTTTCAGCTCTTCCATCATTATTTCAATTATTTCTTTACAGTTTCAAGGCAAATTTTTTGTTTTCTGATTAAATTTGTGACTTATAAAAGTTGAAATGTGGGCTGGTTCTCCTCACTGGGGATTGCTCTTTGGTTTTGTTAACCCAAGTGCTCATATAAGGCTGTCCCAGCATGTCATTGTTGTCTCTTTTCAACAGTGTGTAATTATATATCAGAAGTAGCACCATAACTCAGTAGTAATTATTTTGGTAGTAATTTGGAAAAGAGCTTGTGCAGGGTTGACTATCAAACCTGATAGTATCAGGGGCCTCTTAGACAATTGCATACTTATTCAGTTAAAGGAGATAACACACACATAGAATCATTAGTACCCAAACCAACGAGAGCCTTGTTTATGCTCAGGGAATTTGTGATCATTAAAGAGAGAAAATCTAAACAAATTTTTGTCTTAAGTTCTTTGGGGACTAGAATTTCTCACATTTGTATATGATGTCACTGCAGGCTTCCTGAAATTTAATACAGTTGACTGCTATTTCATGATGAAAGCAACATCATAACCTTACTCATGACCTAGAATAAATGTAGAATCCTTCAAAACTAGTAGCATTTGAGACAATTGCCTGTTTGAAGAGCACTTGCCAAGTGATGCTTTTTGTTACTTCCGTGAGACTGCTTGTTCTGAGTATTGTTCTGCATAAACACAAGCCATACTCATAGTTTATAGGGCTGTACTTTGTGAAACTATACATTTTCGTTGTAATGTTTCTGTGCTAGCTTTGCGTTTCAGGGTTTCAAGTGGTGGTTGTTACCTTTGGGTTTTCTCCACTTATTCAAATGTATATCAACTATCTGTGAAACCAGCAGTGGAAGAGGAGAGGATTAGAAAAATGTTAGAAATTAGTTCTATTTTACTTTAAAGATATTTCATTTTAAATACTCTTGCACTCTTCCTCCTCAGATAAGAAGCACAGTATTTTACAGAGGTATCATTTGTATTTGGACATTTCACTCTTGTGAAAATTCCTGCACATTTGGCCATTATCAAAAATGTGAATAAAAATGGATTGCATATGCTCAATAGTAGCTCACATCCCTTAGAAGTCTGTATTCATTCATGGTGCCTAAATTCCTCAGAGCCCCACATGCTGACTGAGCGAATATATGACATTTTCACAGAGTCAACAGGCATGCAAAGGGACTAGCTGCACAACCCCCCCTGCAATTAGTATCTGGAGAAACGGGAGTAAAGTAAGAGAAAAGAAAGATTCTACAACAAAATGAGGCATCAATGAAAAGGTTGAAAGTTAGAAAATATCATAATGAAGTCTGTCCGTTATCTTAATCCATTCCTTTCATTCCTGGCAATTATGATCTACTGCAGGTGAACCCCTCCTATTTTTAACGAGGATTCATACTTCACTCATTAGACAAAGTTCTGCTAGTCTAAGAATGGATTCTTGCTTAGGCCTGAGAAGTAAAGGAAGCTGTCATACGTGGTACTTACACTTTACATGCATTGGAAGAGAATGAATGCCTTCCTCTCAGGGCAGTTAAGTTCTGCTTAGAAGCAGAGTGTCTGTCTCTGGCTGTCAGAGTTCCTGAGGGACTCTCCACAGTCCCTTACATCAGACATTTCCTATAGGGTCAATAACAGTGTGCTTCTCATTTCTGAATGCCCACCTCAGGACCCTCATGGCTCAGATGAAGAATCACTGAGCAGTCACAGTTGCAATTAAAGTGAATGGATGTTGTGATTGAAGATGCAGATTATTATAAAATGTGACAAAATCCCACAACTTGGACCCTGGGTAGCTCAGCACTAGCTGTTGTCTATGTCTCTGCTGCCTGTCTGTAAAGTGGAATATATTACCTTGTCACTTCAGAGAAGTTTTTTTAAGACAAATTAACCTTCAGGAAGCTCTCAGAGCTTTGCATGATGAGCACCATAGGGAAGCCCAGAAGGGAATGAATAATTCTGTCTTCAGCTCAGTGTTTGAGTGGTGTGCATGGGTGAGGCCTAGGGACACACAATGAAAAATAAAAATAAGCCAAATGTTGAAGACCTGCTGATTACTTTAATTCCATTTTTCACATACCCATAATGAGGTGGGGGGAGGATCTAGAAAAAATCCCTGTGTCATGGTATATTTAAAGACTACATTGCTTTTGTATATGAAGAGAGAGAGTTAATTCTTGCTTTGCTGTCTCTTGAGTACTTGATTTGAAACTTTAAAAATGGTCTTTCAGTACAGCTTTTTACGTATAGCAGAACATTTTATAGCTCTCTCTCTACCATTGTCTCTCTACCATTAGGCAGCTGGGAGAAAAGCTCACAGAACCTTAAAATGAGACTTTAG